GCCCTGTCCCCGATGTGGGCAGGGGGGGAGCAGGCCACCTTCTCCTGATCCCACACAGCCAGGTTCAGGTACCACATATGGCCGGGGGGACCAAGAACTGGGACTCCTGCAAAGGGACCACTGCCAACGCGCCTGGCATCTTCTGCCGCTTTGCCATCACACCAGTGCTACGACGAGCCCAGGTCCCTGTAGTCTGGCTGGGGGATCAGCTGCAGTGCTGATCCCATCCCCTGCAGCAAAGCAATCCTCAGCAGCTCCCTCCCAAGCAAAACGCCCACCTCGTCCTCTTGCCAGCACCTCTTCCGAAGCTGGCCCGCTCTGCCAGCCTGCCCACCTCTCCATCACCCTCCCTCCGGGCATGGAAAGCTACTGCAAAATGCATTAATCGTCACATCTGCCTAACAAGTGTATTTGTGGGGAGGATGCAGTGAGTGCAACACAGTCCTGTGTGTCATTTTTCCACCTGCCTGGTACTTAGGATGAAAAGCTGATCAGGCCCGTAAAATACAATCCACTACGTGATGACTTGTAAAGTGGTAAAACGGAGACATTGAAAGTCATTCACGCCTCTTTTCATGTCATTGCACGGTGAAATCCTACCCCCAAACATAAAATTTTTCAGGTTAAAGGCTGAAAGATTTCCAAAACATATGTAGGTAAACTGGCTCCCTCCCTAGCCGCGGCAGCTGGGTGTACCAGGGACGGATAGCAGAGAGACCCAGTCGAGCATCCTGTACAGCAGGTGTCGAAAGCACACAGGCCTTTCAAACACTTGTAGCAGGTCATGCATTAAAATGTACCTCGGTGTCATCTGATAATAATGCACAAAAAATATTACAGCCTCCAATCCACGCATTCCCACCCATGCTCCATGGACAAGAGCTCTGATTGCACTGGAAATGCGTGAGCCACCTCTCCAAAGCCAGAGGGAGCCTCATTCCTCAGAAACTGCATCCGAAGCAGCATGTGAAGAACTTCAATATATTGCCAGACGAAGGCCAGAAGAAACCCTAGTCATCCTCATGCTGACCTGCCACCTAAGGGCACACGGTCTCACCCTAACACAAAGCCTGTTAACTTACACCGCAGCTAAAGTTTATCTATCCAAAAGATAGACGGTTGTGAGATTTCTTAAGGAGGTCTCATCTGTATTGGTAAATCTCAGCAAAGCCGATTTCAGGTCACTGCCATCAGCCTGCTTGAGTACTCCGGGAAGAAGGAAAATTCGGGATGGACCAGCAACTGCCAAATGGGCTGTTTTCAGCCCTTTGTCTATGCAATGTCGCAAGCTGGAGGTATACGGTATAGATCCTAAAGGCTGAGGTTTTTCTGCCGCTATATTTGGGATTGCAGTGGTTATTCCTATTTTATCAGTCAGTAGGACTCCTGTTTACTGGATGCAGCCATAAAAGGTAAAGAAGCCCCGGCAGGCACGGGTAACACCATTAAATATCAGTCCCGACAGTGGTAAATCGGGTTTAAAAGTTTGGAACAGAATGCAGAGCCTCTTTCCCGAACCAAGGAATAATATAAACCCCCACTTTCTCCCCTATGTGACTTTTGTCATTATCATCTTTTCTGATTCTTACAAAGCAAACCTAATTAGGAAGCTCTCTCATTAGTCTTCCAGAAAAATTAGCACAGCTTATGCTAATTACTCCTGTAAAATTTAATAAACTCGTTGAAATGGGAATAGTCTAATGAGGTTTTATTTATTGAACTAAGATAAGTGTAAGGAAAAAGGTTAGGACACCAGGATATCCAGAGTGGTAATAAAACTACAATTTATTCAATTTCTTCACAGGAATTTTATTGCAAACCTTTTAAATTCAAATACGAGTTACAATTTGAAAGTTAAATCAATCTAGAATTTAATTTAATAACAGGAAGTGCTCTGTGTTTTCTTTAAGTGTGATTACAATGCGGCCCTGCCACTGCACTTGTAGGAGGAATTGTGCGTTTGTATTGTGACAATAATACCCCTTTTACAACGAGTTCCTGTTCATCAGAGCTCCATCTCAACACGTGTAACTGGATTAGCGATAAAATATACAGGCTATGCTAAGAAGATGATTCAGACACACACAAGTTTCCAAGAAACTTCCTTGAAACGACTGCTCTATAAGCATAATAGATTTATTTTGTTCTCCAGAGAAAACGTAGATTGCTATATGAGTACAAATTTCTGTAGGTCCCTTTCGCTGCTGTATCTGCTAATACTATAATAGAGCAAAGTATAAAGCAATTCTATAAAGGATAAAGTCGCATCTTGTTTCAAACGCAACTACAGACTTTTTTTAAGTCTCACAGTTTGATTAAATAAAAAGATAGGATTTACTTTTCATATATATATCTAGGGTTTGAAAAAGAACATGACACATGTAACTTTGAAGTTGCCGAACAGCCTCTTCGCCAAGTTCACTAAACCACCACAAAGACGGAGCTCTCCCTATCCCAAGTTTCTCTAGCCTCATCAAAGAGAATTAATCCATCCAGAATAGTATTCCAGCATGTAAGAAGAGGATAGCATTTCCATGTAAGTACATATGTCAAAAATCCCATGGATAGATTCTACGTTAAGTTCTATGTTAGGTCAGAGGCTGTGGATTCGCAGGGTTTGATGCAAGAGTTAGATTAAATCCACAGGCAAGACTTTATCAGAGCGTAAGGCATGTGGGAGTGCTTTAGCCCAAATGGTAAATGAATTCTGTAAGCTCACATGCAAATAAAAATAGCTAAATATGGTTTTGCATATCAATTGACATAATAGTTAAAAATTGTGTGCATGGAGAAGTGACAATAGAGTACAACTAAACACATGTTCTGACTTGGGCAGGCGCTTTAACGTTAGAACAATTTTAAAGGACTCGTTGTAAGGTAAAAAGGCTCCATATAGATCACTTCATCCTTTCCAAACCAAAAGGGGAAAAAAAATGAGTAGGATAAATGTCACAAGAAACATCAGTAAAGCCACTAACTGTATAAAGCACATACTTATTTGGCCTAAATTGTTTGAACTAGCCCCAGCCAAGAAAAGGTTTTAAGTACCCTACTGGGACAGATGCGAAGCGGCAACAATAGAAGCCACACTAATGCAATCCAGGTAACACAATCCTGTTTCAAAAACACGGGGAGGGCTAATTACAGTACTGCTGAGTCAAATTTCTTATACCATTGCAACCCACAGGAACAGGTCAAAATCAAATGTTATTCAAACCACAGTCATATCAACCTTCTGTATCAAAGTCACAATTTAAAACCAAGTGAAGAACTTAAAAGCTTAACCCATTCACAAGCCGAGCGTGATTCAGTACGGGTGGTGAGGTAGGGTTTGTATTATCATCTTTAAATTATGTTTAGCTTGCATTTTTAAAATAATCTTCTGAATTGGTACATTTTGCATCAATTTATGTAAAGACTGATAAATTGATCACCGCTAGGAAGGTAAATCTGCTTTTTTCATGTAACCGTTTCCCTCATTTTGCAGGAAGCATGTAACAGACAGCAGCCCTGGCTTTCATAATTTAAAATGATTTGCAACTAGCAGTTTTGCATAGTAGATAGTTAAACAAAATATTTCTGTAAACCTGCCATTAGCATCTTAACATCTCACTTTCCACTACAATGAAAAATTCATGTGAATTTTGTAGCTTTCATGTTGCTCAAAATGCCACTCTAACACCATGTTTATAGTGTTCAACTCTGCAGCATGCTTATAAAACACATCTCTATACAGATTTCACTGTGGGGTTTTTTCCCCCCCACTTTCCCTGGTCACTCACAGAAGATGAAAACATGCCTAGTTAAAATAGATAGAGATATCCTCTGAGATTTAAACATTCTCAGCATTACTTATTATAGCTAATCAAAACATCTGCTATAAGCTTCCAATATATCCACTTCCGTACCAAATTCAAGCAAGAACTGTAAATCTGGGAGTCTGGATGAGCACGATGCCAGGCAAGGCTCTGCCGTATCCCTGGACCGCTCTCTGCGTGTGGCACCCAGCCCAGCAAACCCTCGTCACGCATTCACATGAACTCAGACGATAACGCAAGGCCAAGCACCCTATTCTATGCTCTCGCCCCTATACGTATAGGTAATTTCTCTTCAGGGTCCCTCTGTTCACAGATCAGTGTCGGGGTATTGCTTTCCCCAGCTGACGGCAGATGCTTTCGGTACTTCATGGCCATTTAACTCTTCTAGAGTAATGCTGCATAATACCCTGGTTATCGCACCTGGCTTTGTACAACGAGTTTGGACAATTAAAATGTAAAAATGACTCTTTGGCTACCATTTTGCATAATTTGCAAGCACAGAAACTACGCGTGGCTCGGAAGAACTAAAATAGATGTATTGTACTACAGTGATTTACTCGGTGATGTCAGATTAGCAATATGGATCTGTTTAAAAACACAATAATTAAGACAGGCAAAAATGAATTAGTCAACTGACAATACAGTCAAAATAGTATTCCAACCAAAGAAAATAACAGGAGGAAAAAACCTTACTTTGCAGATCTTTTTTTTTAACTGTTTTTATGCATAAATAAAACCCTTAAAATGTAGATGGATTGCATCCCACAGAACTACTGTAGCTAAAAGTGATAATGATTCAGACATTTTTCAAATAAAAGTTAAATATTTATAAGCACCCAACCACATTTCATAAATCACAAACTATTATTATTTTATTCCTGAAGCTTCCCTGGCACGGCATGTGAATTGAGCCACAGAAAGTCAGAAAGAAAAATCTCCTCTTTATGCACATGAATCAGTTACAAGCAGCGGAGCCCTCCAAAGAGCAGGTCACTCCGTTATCCTCCATATGGCCCTTCCGTGGCAATCGCAATTGCAAAGCACAACTAATTCGGTATCAAAAACAAAATTTCATCCGCATATACTCCTAATTCTTCCCCATTAGCAACACAGGGCAGGTGTTTCATTATAATGAGGAGGGGGAGAAGAAAAAAAATGGAAGGAAACAATAGCAGTCCTTACCTGTCAATTATCACTGGATCTGATGGAGTCTCATTTCTGTTGCCACAGCTTTTCTTGTCACAACAGCGGCTACAGAGCAAAAGTGAAAGGATTTAGTGCGACCATTACACTGTAAAATCATCATTACGAACATGGTAGGTTCAAATTGCCGGCTAGAGTTACCGCTCCGGCCCTGCCTGGAAATCAGTCAAATGTAGTGGGTCACATATGGGTTAATTACTATGTTTAACTTCTTGCACAGCTGGTTAGCAACGGAAAATATAAAAAGAGAGGGGTTTTGCCCCTTTCACAAATAATAATTCAAGGATCACCCGAAACAGGGAGACCTGCCTATTTGTAGCCTCTTTCCCATAAGGTTTAACAGTTGTCCCGCATACGCTTGCACACAAAATAAGGGAGCTTTTTCCCCCGCTGAGCCCGGTTTTTACACTCGCTTAACGCTTATGTTACACGTCCACAAGATAGTCCTGCTTCTACACAGAGACGGATTCTCAGCTACCGGCAAACCTCCCCCCGAAATCCAAAAGCACAATTATTCTCCCTCTGAGAAACACTGTTGTTAATGGGAGAGCCAAAATGCAAACGCCATCGGCAGCGGCTTTTTTATGCTCGAGCGTGCCTGTTTCCCCAAGTTTTCTGAGTACGTTAATGATCGCTAATGCCATGGAGAGCACAGCTCCGGTGGCTGGTACCCCGCGTCAGGTCAGATACAAAGCAGGCATGTGAAATATAAGCTCCGTCTCCCAAAGCACTGCTCCATTGCTGACCTTGAGGCTGGGATTCTTTTGAACTAAGGTGGCTCATTGTTTCCTGAGAGAAGTTAAATTGTTGTTTGTGATGATTCCTTGTCAGGGGTTATTGTCTGTTAGGAGCCACAAATATACTGCAGGTGAGCTCACAGGCAGTATACGTATTTCTGCTCAGGGTGGGAATCCCTCCTGGTGCATCTGGAGCTGTGGCCAGGCGATGCGGGGGCTGCCCGCTGGAGCACTGCTCGCCCCAGCAGCCCGTCTAAACCCACAAGACCGAGTCACAGCTACGTAGGTGAGCAAAGCCTCAGGCTTTCACCCACCCGCTCACCGGGAGGAAAGACCCATCTAGCAAGGAAAGCTCCTATTTGGTGACATCCCTTAACAGAAAATTCCCCACTGAAGTCAAAGCTCCAAGCAATAAAAAAAACAATAAAAATCAAGAAGCTCCTGGTCTTCCCAAGCCCTCCTCGGTCCCCAGGGACCTGCTGGACAAAGCCTGGGTAGCTTCTGTGGGGTGAGGGTTGCAGGGACCCCATCCCATGGTGGCCCCAAGTGACAGGCAGGGAGGACCACCCCGTTCACTCCCCCTGGCCAGACCTGAGCGCATCTCTCTGGTCAATAAACTTTCTGGTAAACCTCAACCACACGCAACCCAGTCTTTGGAAACCACCAAGCGTGTTCCAAACGGCATCCCAGGGACCTGCGCGTCGCCTTTATTTCAGCAGCCGGCTTTGGGCAGCTGGCAGGAACGACCACTGCTCTCACTCCTGCTCAGATGAACTATTTTCTTTTCCCCAGAAGGTGGAAGAACATCAGGGCAGGAAGAAGCCCTCAGAAGTGCCACGCTACATAAATAGCCCTGTTGGGAGTACGACAAAGGTTCTCTTGTGTTGCTGAACAATAGGGTGAATAATATACAGTTACCCACCAAGATTAGCAATAAAGCAACTAACCACAGTAAAGATAACAAAAAAAAGGGGGCCTTTTACAAAAACAGCCTGTTTAAACATGGTTTAAAAAAAAAAAAATTTTGTTTTCAAAGAGAGGAAAATACATAATTCTTTTCACCGCAAAAAGCTTCAAGGCAACTATTCAGGGCTGAAACTTTTCACAGTTAACACATGTGCGGTATCTTCATTTCGGTGGAAGTTACATTGTTTGGGATTGCCAAAAAAAACTGCTTAATTTTACAGCACAATACCACAATTGATCTACCAAAAAATGCAAGAGCCTTGGCACCCAGAAAGTATTAAAATTTAGGAAGGAATAAAATATGCTGTAGGTAAATAGTCATGTGGATATTCGGGGGGCTTTTTTGCCTATAAAAGGACTTGTCATTGGAGTGCAGCTAGAATGTGTGGGGTGAGAAAATTTACCCACAAACAAGGCAATAAAAACTGCTAATCATTTTTAAATGATTAAAATGTAATTAGAAACAGAGTTGGCACAAGTTAAGACAATGCAGTTCTTGTGACTGGAGCAAATCAGGGCTAGTCCTGACATTCTCACAGCAGACTGCAGGGACAGAAATTGCCACACTTACTCAGGCGAGCAAAGGTTCCCAGGCTCCCAGCCCGAGATGGGCAGATACCACCATCCACGCACCACCAGGCTCAGAGGCTGGCACCTTCCCGGGGTGCTGACCCAGCGGGAGAGGCGGCCACGGGGGCCCGGGGACGGGGATGCCTTGGTCTCGCCACCCGCCGCGAGCGGGATGGAGTCAGGCGCTGGCCGCCGGGGACAACCCGGCTTCGAGAGCGGGGGAAACACCGCGTTGCTCATCAGGTGGACCCCTCGTTTGGATAGGGCTTCCCAAGAGTGCACCCCAATAATCCCAAGTGATAGTAGACCTCACTCCTTGCACCGCAATTTGAGGGTGATGTGGAAGAGGTGCATGGCTGGCATGTCCCACTGTCTGGTGACTCTGTGGCATGAAAGGAGGCCCCAAATGTTCTTTCATGCTCTAGATAATTATTTCTTAAACCTTAGCTTGCCTTTTGCATTTTTTTCCCCCCAACAGCAGAATCCAAGGCTTCGTCTACCCTAGTTTTTCTATGCAGAGAATTAAAACATCATGCAAACCCTGAGATTGAGACCTGTTAAGTGCTTTTAATTCAACTTGCCTGGAAAGCTTTGGCCTTTAGAGCCTACTTAACACTTGGTAAAAAGTTCCTAAATATTCAGCACCCTTTCTCCTTTCCCTGAAGGAATTTAAAAATTCCCAGGAGCTTCTCCAAGTCACCCAGAAACCTTCCAGCTCCCAGCGAGGCTCTGTGAAAGCGCAGGGAGAGGCTCCGAGTGACGGCTCCTTGCAGCCAGGAGGGCAAGGACTTGTCCTCGCTGTCCCTCCGTGATGCCTGTTCCCAAGTGGGGCAAGGAGCCACGGCTCAGGCACAACATCATGCTGGCCCACAGAAAAAGCCTGCAAGAATTGCTTCATTTGGGGGATTGTTTGTTTTTAAAACAAGTAGCCAATGACAGTGATGACCTCTCTTGCCATTACAACCCCCTCCAGCTCCTGCACCCCACGTCTGCCTACCCCAGGTTTCCCCCCCTCCTATTGCCATCCTCGCCATCCCCAGGGCTCGTGCCCAAGCCCCACGCCATCCCCATCCTGCCCCTTCGCAGGCCTCCCCATCCCCTGGCCACCGCCACTCCCAGCTTTTGTTGCTGCCTTTGTCCTCACCCCAACCCTCTGGGGACCTGCTGCCCTCCTGCCATCTTGCTCCATATCTTTCTCCTCCTCTTCCCTTCCCTGCACTGGAGCATCTCTGTCCCGCACTGCCCGGCCCCGCCAGGGGTGCGCAGGAGACGGCCTCCTCGCCCCGATGTCTGGTACCCCCAAATCCCCCCGTCCCCACCCCGGCGTGGCGGCCAGGAACATCGCTCGCCAGAGGAGCCCTGCTTTGTGTATCTGCGCGCTCGGGCTTTCTACGGGGACAATGAACAATGAGAAATTACGGGGCGATGGCACGTGGCCAGCGCAAATGCGACTTTCCGATCATTTAGCTGCCAGGCTCTAACAAGTCGTTAGCGAGTCCGTGTGGGAGATTTTGCAGAAGCTCCCGACGAGGTGGGTTTCATCCCGCAGATGATGCATCCAGGACAACCCCTGCCCCAAACAGGCTTCTCGCCCCGAAGCGTTGGAGGTATGGGAGCTTCTCACCAAAACAGCTGTAAGATTTTATTTTACACAGACAAAAACCATATTTTACTCCAACCTCATTCTCAGAAATCACTGAACCATTTTAGCTGGAACTTTCCAAAGAAAGTCAGCCTGAGGCTGACACCCTGCAAAGGACATTTCAGCCAGAACAGTTTAAGTTTGGCAAAGCTGTAAGCCACTGAAGGTTTCATAATGGAAATTGTTGAGGCAATATTAACTATAGATGTCCCTCCCCATGCTGGCTACAATACTAATAAATTCCACTGAGGCTGTGAATTCTCCCCAGCTATTAACATTTTCGCCAACAGTGTAGATTTTTATATTTGACAAAACACAATGAAATCCTTTGAAATAAACAGCCACCTGAAGCAAACCTCAGTCCCACTTTCCTACCACAGCCAGGACCCTCCTGTACATTTGAATTCTTTGTCTTATCCATGCCATAGTTGTAGTATACTATAAATACCCAGCTTTGTCACATAAATGCAAAGTTTTATTGTGCAGTTAGCCTTGATAGAAAGCACTGCTGAAAGTTGTTTAGAAATTAAATATCTAAAACAAGCTATTTTAAAATACAGAGCCCTCACTATTTCATGTCTGAAATGAAGAAATTTCATCTTAGGGAGAGCAAGCTGTCTTTCACACCATATGGCTAATGGTAGTGCATAGCAATTAGCTGGGCTGATTAATGGGGAACAGACTCTAATTTTATGCTTATAATTGAGGCTGCATTTGCACCCCTGGTGCAAATTCAGCACATCCCAACTTCCACTTACAACAGGCAAGAAATCAAGAGAAACAGAATGGTGTGGAGAGAGATTTTTTTTTTCCCTTCTAGACCCCTAAAGAGCATCAGATTTGCAATTTAAAAGAGTGTTAGCAGCACAATAGATGACAGATTTGTGCAATAGGGTCAAGCGGCCTGGTAAACAAACAGCACCCTCTTACACATGTATAGGCAGAAAAGGAAATGGGTAATATCTAATATGAGCTGTAAGAAATTTGAATATGTCTCCCCCACCCCGACAGGCACACAGCATTTGCCTACTATGGTCAGACATATTTTTTTTTGCTACCCCTCCACCTTATGGTTATGAAACACAAAGCAAGAACTAGCAGTAAACAAATAGAAGGAGAAGAATAAAGCTCCCGATCCAGTGAATTTTAAGCACAAAGAAAGCGTAAAGTGCTTTAATAAAGGGAAAGACTGCACATCTTTCCACATCCCCAGGACGGAAATCATTTTGTCTCAGTCAAAGTATATTGAATGGCCGTAAATCTTTGATGCAGGTATTTGGTCTTCTGGTTAAAACTCAGCCCTCTATGTAAAGTTTCAATTTACTTCTTACTCTTTGTGTTTCTAAAGTATTTGTAAGAAACTTAATGCATTAAAGTAGGTGATTCTTACTCTTGCAGGGATGGCTCAGTGAGTGGCAGGCAGATGCAATTCCTACCTCAAAACCTTGCTGTCTAAGAATCGGGAGGACACATCACCCAGGACTAACAGCAGATTCAAACCCTGATGCTGCAGGCACTTGAGCACGTGCTTAATTTTACTCACATGAACAGTCCCACTGTTTTACTGGTCTATTACAGGAGAAAAGTAAAGCACGCACTTCAGCCTTATCAGGTCAGGGGCCTCCTTTAATATTTCCATGAATTGTTCCTAGCTAGGTGTCTAGTGTGAAAGTGGTGTTAATTGGGCCAATGAATTTTAGGGCAATTACGAGTTGTCAGCACAACTGGGTTTCCATTTGGAAAGGGAGAACTGGACGGGAGTCCTCAGCACAGCAATGCTGCAGCTCCCAACGGCAGCAGAAGCTCAGGCAGCTCTTGGAGATACCCGTCTGCTCTGATCGTTCTTGGGCTGTAATGGGTTATCTTTGGTTTCCTGGAAGAAGCCAAACCTACTGGCTGAAGCAGCCTAGGAAAATATGACATGAAAACTAAAATCCCCCAAATCCTGCAAGGAAGAATTTGGGGGGTGGCACGGGGTTTTGGCCAGGCTGGCAAAGCAAGGAGGGCAGCTCCTTCTCTGCTGGCATCGCAGGGCCCTGCCCTCCAGCAGGGTTTTATCAGGGAGGAGCTGCCGTGGAGGACAAAACATGCAAATCGCCAAGAATGAAAAAAAATTTTTTAAAAAAATCAACCAACAGAGAAGTTTCCATCTCAATATTTTGTCTAAGACTCTCCCCCACCAGGAAACCCTCATCCAAATTTATTCTCTTAGAAGTGGGTACTAGTTTTTACCCTCAAGTTACTCCTTTTTAGTAAATGTGTTTTGTAAAAGTTACAACGCATGCAATGGCATTTTTACAGTCTTAAAACAACTGATTGTAACAATGAGCTTATGCAAGAACGCCTCGTCTTCCACCAGGGAATTATTTTCTGCCATCGAATAACATGTAACAAATGATTTTTTCAGACATGCAAAAAACACCCACTAACTTTAATGAGACTGCAAGGTCAAGCTCTCCTAGATGTCGGAAGGGTTTGTGGGAAGATGCTGCCTTCTCTGTGGTGAAAAGGAAGTAGAAGAGGCTTCACCTATTTCAATCAGGCAGAAAAGAGAAGGAAGCAGCTGCCCGTTGCAGAAGTACCGTGTTCAGGAGAGAAGATATTTGGCTGTCCCGAATTTAAGTGGCCAAGCCCAGGCAGGCATGTTCAGGGGAAGAGAGCACAGGGCAGAGCCAAATGTGCACGGGGAAGTTTAAAGAAAATCAAGAAGACATCTTTTGCATGGAGGAGCATCGCCTGCTCCGCTCCGCCTGAGTGGGGACCTTGCATGAGCAGCAACAGGGACAAAAAAGGCCTCCTGACTTCATGCCTTCATGCACATCCAGGAAAAAACACAAACACACAAACAAACAAAAAATCCAACCAAAAAACCCTACGATTTTGTCATCTTACTGAGGAGGTTTTGTTGGGAATTGGGGACAGAGACATTTATTGCTAGAAGACTATAATTGACTCTTAATTTTGGTGAGGAGACCTTTTGTGGGCTACAGTGTCTAAAGGAAAACCAGTAGTGTTCTGTTAAGAATAACTCTTTATAAATAATTGAAAACTAGCGTGACGACTGAGACCTTGCTGCTAATTACACACACCGAACTGCGTTATTTTGGGATTGTTTAATGCAAGAAAGATAAATTTAAGTCCGAAAATAGCTGCAGGTTCAACCTAGATTTTGAGAGACAGATTCATCTTCTCATCACCAATTAACTGGAAGCGGGGTATTTCTTACCTGCACATTATTTCATGCGTGAGCAGAACTCGGCACATTTCTGGGTTCTTGTCTTGGCCTTCATATACTATCGCCTAGAAACAAAACACATTTTTAGCTGTGCATCGAGTTGAGTTTGGAGAAAATGAAAACGCATCGCGGCAACCGAAGGCGCAGCCAGAGTTGCAAGCCAAGTCGCAGGCTAAAGAGACAGCGTCTCCACCGAACCTGCTCCAAGATTTGCAGTTGGAAAACAACACAAGCTGAGTACAGCTAAATTCCCTCCTCTCCGTTGCACATCTCTCAAGCGGTGTGTAGGATGGTTTTTTTTAGTAGTCAAGACAACCACAATTTTCTTTTCAATTCAGAATAAAATATAAACCTAATAGCATTAAAAGAAAAAAAAAAAAAAAGAAAAACCAGCAAGGCTTGGCATACTTTGGGTCCTATTCATTACAAAAAAAAAAAAAAAAAACAAAAAAACAAAAA